AAGAAAACATCTAAAGCAACCACCCGACGAGCATCAACAAGAAAAACAGAAAGGAAAAATAAATTTAAAAATACCATCAGAAATCTTTTACTAAACAAAAGTTCAAAACAACAAAATGTAGCTAAAAAAAAATGGCCCCCATTATGGCAAACTCAGATTATATTTGCTTTCTTTCATTCATAATCTCATAATATCGAAAACCTTCCTTTAAGGGGAACATCTCTCGGCGGAAAAATTAGGATTGGGAATGCCTGTTATATGGTTCAAGTCTCGTTCTTACTAACGTCTAAAACGAGACTAGCTTTAGCAGAAAAATAATTTTTTTTCATACTGCCGTTAATCATTGAATAGTCACAACTGGTAGTGATATTTGTTCAAGGGTCCCAAAATCTTATATAACCCAGCAAAACCCTTTATAAGTATTTCATATAAGAATTTTCTTTTTCTCATGACCAAGCCGACCTTAGAGGAGACCTGAACGACGGTGATGCAGCCAGTGGCCGCCAACTAGATCTGCTTTCTGCCTCGCGAAACAGCGTCGGAGTCTCTAGACCATTCTTTGATATTGTTCATCCAACTTACTGTCTGCTTCCCCTTACATCTACCTACTTCTAAGGTACCTTGAAGGACCGTCTTGGATAGAATATTGTGGCGTATGATGTGATCAAGCAGCTTTCTCCTGTTTACTGTTGCCAAAAGAGGCTCCTAGGGGCCTGTCAGTTGTTTTAGCTGGCGATGTATGAAGTCATTTGTCTTGTGTTCTCACCAGGAGATCCCGAGAAAGGGTCTGGAATATTTCCTTTCAAATATTTGGACTCTCTTGGTGGTTTCTGCTATCAGAGTCCAGCTTTAACAGTCGTAGAGCGGTATGGAGAGCACCAGGAACTTGTAGAGCTTCATCTTGGTTGGAAAGATATATGAATGCATCCCTTGAAATGTCTCAGTTTGAGCAATTGTCAAAAAAAAAATCATTTTGGAGCACTTCAACATGGTGTAATGGTTAGCAAGCTTGTCTAATTATATCTACTACGACTGAGAAGTAAGTTGGGCGCTCCACATTTTTGGCCTTGTGTCTCATCTAAGCTACGCCTAGGAAATCATTCTGGACACTTTGACATGGTATAATTGTTAAGCAAGCTTGTCTCGTTAGATCAACTATGACTGAATAGTGAGTTCGATCTTCACTGGGCGCTCCACACGTTTGGCCTTGTGCCTCATCTAAGCTACGGATACATGTTTACTTACAAGTTTTTTACGTATACCTTTTGAATATTCTTTTCGGGTAGCATATGTTGAAATATCATTTTAATAATTAAAATCTTATATTACCCAGCAAAACAGTCGATATCGCCCACCGGTGAGCAATATCGCCCACCGGTGAGCAATATCGCCCACCGGTGAGCAATATCGCCCACCGGTGAGCAATATCGCTCAGGCTGGTAAACATTTGACCGAGCAGCTAAAACTGCTTTAGGTTTAAAATAATAAAATCTTTCTCTTAAAAGAATTTTTCGGGATTTTTTTTTTTTTTTTGTCAAATCCAGTAGCTGTTATCGCTCTTTCCAGTACTGATGGGGTTTTCCTTTTTATCCTTTTATTTGATGCAGTGTGAAAGGTCAACATCTTGATTCACTTGGTCTGAAGGTCATACCGAGGTGTGAGAGTCAGCATTCAGCGTTAATTCTTTTGGCCATACTGTGAATACCTATATAAATTCCATCATTGATATTGAACATTCGTTCCTCTATGAATATTAAAAATAAAATAGGGTATATATATATATATATATATATATATATATATATATATATATGTGTGTGTGTGTGTGTGTGTGTGTGTGTGTGCATATATATATATACATACATTATATATATATATATATATATATATATATATATATATTAAGCAAAATATATGGATATAGATCCGACACTAGGAAGAAAAATATACGGAAAAAAAACAAAAAATCCTAATATGCAATTATGCTGTTTTAATGTTAATATAATGTCAACGTCGGACGTTTCGGTCTAGTAGACCATCTTCAGGACATATTCATTAAACATAATTAACATAATTAATTTTCACAACATCGCCCACGTGACGCCGACGTGTTCATATTGAAACGGAACGCTGATCTTGAAAAAAATCAGTTGTCTGTTTTGATTAGTCTTACTCTTATGTCCATCGTCTTTTCATGTTGAATTGAATATAGTCTAATGTTAATTAGGTTTTATGAATATGTCCTGAAGATGGTCTATTAGACCGAAACGTCCGACGTTGATATTATATTAACATTAAAACAGCATAATTGCATATTAGGATTGTTGTTTGTTTTTTCCGTATATTTTTCTTCATATATATATATATATATATATATGGCCAGCGTTTTGTGGAAGCATTAATAACAAAAAAGCAAAACCCAATACTCAATGGCATCAACTGGGAACACGGCCACAACGTGCTGACCATGTTTGTAAAATAAATAAAAACATTCGCATCATATTAGAAACATATAAATATCTACATATTTAGTAAAAACAAATTTGTTTCGTGACTGCAATTGAGATGAGAGCTGATCATTTATTTAGTAATTTTTCTTGATCTTGGAAGGTAATTATAGCTGTTTCTACCACAAGACAGCATTTACAGATTTTTTGTTTATTTATTGTTGTAGGCTGGTACTGTTTTTCTGATTTTACATTATATATTGTGTCATTTTGTTTTCCTTTTTAATTTCCCATATATGTACATTGTTGAGTGTTTAGTTCCTCTCTGTCCAGGGTTTTTCAGTTAATCCGATTTTATATATATATATATATATATATATATATATATATATATACGTGGGAAAAAATTATTACATGAAAAAACACATGACAAACTACACATTATTAAGTTTCTAAATGATAAAAATCTATTAAACAATAGACAGGAGTTAACGGTTTTTTGCCGACATCATCAAATTTTTGCATTGAATAATTGGCATAAACAAACAATAAAATAATTTTTAAATTCCATAGTCCTAATAAATAGTTTAAATGCCCTACAAAAAAAGATAACCCTTTATGAAGTCGTCAAAAAACAAATGTTAGCGATTTACGAGAGATTTTATATGCACAAAACCCTTTTAAATAATAAAATAAAAAATAAATAAATCTCCATAGACGCTTAACCAGACTAGACGATGTCATCTTCCGCTTTAAATTTAGACACCCCAACCTTACCCTGACTTGACATCTATGAATATAACCGAGATATTGATACAAATTATTAACACCTTACGCCTCTTTTCTTTAAACAATTGCTCTAGCCGTTACCATAGAAATTTTGATTTCAATAATGAATATGCTTATAAAACACGTAAACCTCATAAATAAGTTATTAAAAAAAAAATTCGCTTGAAGATGGAACAGAGCTTAGTACTTTAATTCAATTTAATTCAAATAATTATATTGAAGTTTTCGGCTCTTGTTTTGAAACATGAGAACTCTTATGTAGCGTGTTGGAATCATATTTTTAAATAAATAATTATATATATATATATATATATATATAGAGAGAGAGAGAGATGTAGAAATGAGCTAAATAAAGAGATATGATCAACCATATATGTGAGTGAATACAGAAACATACAGAGTAAATAACTATTTATTTATTCAAAGGTGTAGACAAAACAGTGTTCAGTGTAGTTAAACAATGCTATAAAGTATATATTAAAATTACACATATACGTAAGCTTATATACGACTCAAAGTTTCATGGTTTACCCATTCATCAGGTAAAAAAGTTATATATATATATATATATATATGGTGAAAGAAAGAAAGAAAGAAAGAAAGAAAGAAAGAAAGAAAGAAAGAAAGAGTACATTGTGAGATTGAGATGGTACAAAGTCGCCGTGAAACATGTTAACTTGACTACGGTGAACAAAAAACAAATGCCTGAAGTAAAGCCAGAAGAAAAGAAAGGAAATGGAGAAAGAGAAAAAAAAGAAGAGAAATAAAGTAACTTTCAACGAGGGAAAGAAAGAAAGGAAAAAAAGAAACGAACAAACAAACAAATGGTGCATTGTGGGATTGACACAATGTCGCCATGAATTTTGTTAACTTGACAAGGTAGGCAAAAAGAAAAAAATGCGAGAAATATAGAAGGAAGAAGCGAATTGAGAAAGAGAAAACAAGAAGAGAAAGAAAATAAATTCGATCGAAAGAAAGAAAGATAGAATTAATGAATGAATGAAAAATAAAGAAAGAAAGAAAGAAAGGAGAAAAGTGCAATAAAGGTGGGGAAAGAAAGATGTTAATCAAGAAAGAATGAAATTAAGAAAGTAACAAAGAAAGAAAGAAAGAAATGAAATTCGAGCGAAAAAAGAAAGAAAGAAATTATAACAAAGTTGAAAAAGAAAGAACAATAAAAATGGAGAAAGAAAAATAGACGAAAAGAAAGAAAGGAAGAAACAAAGAAAGAAAGTAAATTCCAATGAAAAAAAGAAAAAAGATAAAAGAAAAAAAAGGGAGTAAAAAACGAAGATCTTAATCAAGATAAAAGAGAAATCGAAAAAGAAAGAAAGAAAGAATTGTCGAATATACAAAAGAAAGGATGAAAAAGAGTAAAGAAAAAAACAAAAGAAAAAAAGTAAAAACGTACTTCATAAAAAATAAGGAAATAAGCAATAAAAAAAGAAAGAAAGAAAAAGAAATTTGGAATAAAAGAAAAAAGAGAAAATTTTTGAAAAAAATACTAACGAAAGAAATACATGTATAATAAAATAAAGAAACAAAAGAAGGAGGAAAGAAGGAAGGAACCAAGGTGGGAAGAGAGGGAGGGACCAAGGAGGGAGTAAGGAAGGAAGTGAGAAATCAAGGAAAGAAGGGAGAATGGGAGGAAAGAAAGAACCAAAGGAAGGGTGGAAGGAAGGAAGGAACGAACGAACCAACCAACCAACCAAGGAAGAGAGGCAGTAAGGATGGAAGTAAGAGAAGAAGGAAGGAAGGGAGGAATCAAGAAAAGAGAAACAGAATGGAGGAAAGAAGGAAGGAAGGGAGGAACCAAGTAAGGAGGGGAGGGAGGAGCGAACGAACGAACCAAGGAAGGAAGGGAGGTAGTAAGGATGGAAGTAAGAGAAGATGAAAGGAAGGGGGGTGAAGAAAAGAGAAAAGGAATGGAGGAAAGAAGGGAGGAACCAAGTAAGGAATGGAGGAAGGACCAAGGAAGGAAAGAAAGAACGAAGGGAAAAAGAAAGGAAGGAAGGAGCGAAGGAAGAAACGAACGAACGAACGAAGGATGGGAGGAAAGAAGGAAGGAAGGAACGAAGGAAGAAAGGAGCCAATGAAGAGAGGAAGGAAGGAACAAACGAAGGAAGGAAGGAAGGAAGGAAGGAAGGAAGGAAGGAAGGAGCCAAGGAAGAAAGGAGCCAAGGAAGGGAGGAACGAACGAACGCAGGCAGGCAGGCAGGAAGGAACGAAGGAGCGAAGGAAGAAAGGAGCCAAGGAAGGGAGGAACGAAGGAACGAACGCAGGAAGGAAGGAAGAAAGGAGCCAAGGAAGAAAGGAGCCAAGGAAGAAAGGAGCCAAGGAAGGGAGGGACAAAAAAATGAAGAAAGTAAAGAAGGAAGGAAGTAAAGAAGGAATGAAGTAAAGAAGGAAGAAACCAAGGATGGAAAGGAGGGAGTAAGGAAGGAAGGGAGGAATCAAGGAAAGAAGGGAGAAAGGGTAGAAAGAAAGAACCAAAAGAAAAAAGGAAGGAACGAACGAACGAACCAAGGAAGGAAGGGAGGCAGTAAGGATGGAAGTAAGAGAAGGAAGGAAGGGAGGAATCAAGAAAAGAGAAACAGAATGGAGGAAGGAAGGAAGGAAGGAAGGAAGGAAGGAACCAACCAACCAATCAACCAACCAAGTAAGGAGGCAGTAAAGAAGGAAAGAAAAAAGAAAGAAAGGATGGGATATAGAAAGGGGCATAAAGAGAAGAGAGAAAACATGAAAGATCGAACATCCTTTAAAATATATCAAGAAAGAAAGAAAGAAATTAAATTTAAAAGAAAGAAAAGAGTCATTCCTAGAAGAAACTTAAGAAAAAAAAAACGTCGAAAAGAGATTTGCTGGCGAACCCTGCCGACAAAGGAGTCGACTCAATTGAATATGAAACACGTTCCTAATTTGAATATGCCTTTGCCTTCAGATCTCGGCTCAATTCAAGGATCAACTTGACAAGTGGATTTCGTTTGATATTACAACATCAGTTGATCAATATTCTGAAGATCAAGCCATCTAAATCAGCAAGCATTTGATTCAAGGCTCGTGTAAAACGACTTAAATTGTTAGCTTTACCGCCCGGCCCTAAGATCTTTTGGTCTTTCGTTGAATATATAGAAAGTGATTAAAAAAAAATGAAGGCCTCACATGTTTGCAATAAAAAAGCAAGTACGGAAAAGTTCTCGGACAGACTAACTTTCTAAAATTCTGATCTTTGCATTTTGCAATACCCTTTTTATGTTGTGGCTTGGTTCTTGGAGTTTTCAGGACTTCTCTCCTAGTTATTTTATAAGAATACAATTAACAAGTTAGATATTTAACAGCCCCAAATTCTTTTTATGTGCCGATCATGGTTCTCCACAATTTCCTTCTCCTTGCAGCACTCAATAAATACTGTCTTTTCTTTATTTCTAAACTCTATTCCGCCATCTATTTTCCCAAGTTCGTCAAGCATGTTAGGCGTTGCTTTCTCTTATCCCTCTTAAACTACATCCACGTCCTGGGTAAAACGATAAACTACATCCGCATCCTGGGTAAGACGATAAACTACAACCAACAGCAAGGCCTCTGATCAGGAGGTTTTGAGGAGCGTGGAACCACCTCTTATTTGCTGGTGTTTGCAGGTCTACCCTGACCCAGGGTGGTAGCACCTGTTAGGGTCCCAGCTATGAGCAAATAGTTAACCCCCAAACTGCGGTTAAAACACTATGAAAGTGTAAAAATAGGTTTTAATACCAGCAATACATATTTGTAAAAATTAATTGCAATGCATTTTTGAAGAAAAATTATTACCAGCAATACATTTTTTTAAATATTAGCAGCAATACATTTTTGAAAAAAAATAAATATTACCAAAAATACATGAAGGTATAAAAATAGGTTTTAATACCAGAAATACTTTTTAGGAAAAAATTTTCCCCAGCAATAGATTTTTGAAAAAAAAAATATCACCAGCAATAAAAAATCTTGTCGACATTAAATAACCCATTGAGATTGGTATCCCGTAAAACAAACCAAACCAAAACAACTTTCTAAAATTCAGATCTTTGCATATTGAAATACAATTTTTAGGTTGTGGCCTGCTACCTGAAGTTTTCAGGACTTCTCTCCTTGTTATTTTATAAGAATATACTCACTCCTCATTTAACGACTTAGATATTTAACAACCCCGAATTCTTCTTTATGTGTCGAATATGGCTCTCCACAATTTCCGGCCCTTGCAGCACTAAATAATTTTTCTTTATTTCTAAACCCTATCCTGCCATCCACTTTATCAAGTTTATCAAGAAGGTTATGCGTTGCATTCCTTTGTCCCTCTTGTCTTTAATCTATCATGTGGGTATCAAATTTTCCAAGCCCCCTTTCCTCATTATGTGTCCCAGAAATTTCAACTATTTCTTCCTTATGTTATGTGGGTTAGCTTTTTGTTTCATTTTCGCTAAAACCTCGCCGTTGTTTATATGTTTGGTTCATGTTCTCTCAGCATCTTTCTGTAGAACCAAATTTCTGTTGCTTCAAGTCTCTTCATCTTTGAGGAAGTGTTCCAGCAAACGTGTTACACACATTCTTTCTCTCTCTCTCTCTTCTTTATATATATATATATATATATATATATATATATATATATATATATATATATATATGAGATAAAATATATATTCTTATATATCAAGAAAAGGTATTGAGGACATTTTAAGACAAAATGGAATTAAGTTGTCAGCCCATCCGTGTATGTGGAAAGAAACAATCCAGTTATTAACAAGAAGAATTGAAATGAATGCATGCAAGATTTCACAGTTCTAGCATCACTCCTTCATAGTCAGCCTATGAACTTTTCAGCCCATCTTTGTAGCTGGAAAGAGACAATGCAGTTATTAATAAGAGTTGAAATGAATGCATGCCAGATTTCACAGTTCTAGCATCACTCCTTCATAGTCAGCCTATGAACTTTTCAGCCCATTCTCGTAGCTGGAAAGAGACAATGCAGTTATTAATAAGAGTTGAAATGAATGCATGCAAGATTTCACAGTTCTAGCATCACTCCTTCATAATCAGCCTCAGAACTTTTCAGCCCATCCTCATAGCTGGAAAGAAACAATTCAGTTATTAATAAGAAGAGTTGAAATGAATGCATGCAAGGTTTCACAGTTCTAGCACCAATCCTTCATAGCCAGCCTACGATCTTTTCAGTCTACACTTGTCGTATCAACAACCTAGTAGGTTTTAAATATAACTTCTTATTTTTTTCTCCAATCTTTTGACTTTATTGCTCAGCCCAAGATAGGGTTTGTCCAGACTGAGTACAAGAGTTTTATTCATATTTCTTAAACTGTATGCGTATAAGTGTAATTGTAGGAATTTGTAAGTCGCTCACACACAAGAGAGATTCGTATTCGAATATACCCGTCTAGTAGTTCGGCTAGCCAATCCCTATAGCAGATGCTTGCTCAGGCACATTTGTAGTTATTCATTCGAAAGTGCCCTTCAACTATGCTGAGCAGGCTTTAGTTACAATTTCTAGAAAAGAGCATTATCTATCGTGATCAACAATTTGAACAAGGCGATCACACTCAAGCTCTCGGGCACGATGACTTATGACTTCGTGCTAGCACAGTTACTCTACCCAATTTCACTCACAAAGCTTGAGTCAACCCGTGATATGGTTTTCAGGCACTTTCCAAAAGTGCCGCAAGCTGCGATCGGCCTCTCCAGTCCGATAATATCAGGAAGTCGCCTTCCTGACGAATCGACCACGGTGAGATTCGAAACCGGGTCTCCTGGACAGAATGCGAACGTTCTAATATGTACATTAAGAAAACATATGCAAAATCACGTGTGATGGACGACGATTTCTCAGTGCGCGCAAACATTCAGTGCATATGTACCTATCTTCCTTTTGTCGAGTGCCATATTAAGATCAACGCGCTCCTTTCCCATCAAGTCCATATTAACGCTTCTTTCTCTCAGACAGACGTGACTTTCATTGGACGACCAGGTTGCGTTAGGGTAATTAATTTTAAATTGATCCGACGTGAACTCATTGACGACGTTTATTGTCCACTGGAGAAAAAGTTTTAAACTCGTTTCACTGAAATGAGTCGTCAGAAAATCTGTCTTTTTATCGATATTTTATTTAGAAATTTAGGATTATTTTTTATTTCCAATGGTTAAGTGTCGATATAATGTTTGCGCGGGAGTTCCATTAGGTAGCGGCTGGTAATGAGAAAGAAATAGACGAATTGAAGTGAACCATGTTCAAGATCCAGTCGAGTTTGTTACATTCTTCTACGAGCAAATAACTTCAGGAAATTTATAAATCCATCTACTCTCCCTACAGCTATAGTATAAATGGCAAGATAGCCTTGCTTGCCATTTAGTGTAGCCCGGTGGCTAGGATCAAAGTGTAGTATCTGCGCTTTGTGAGCTACCGGGTCTGGTGTCTGTCGAACTCTCTGCTTGCAGTGAGGAACCCAGACGAAGCTCCGCCGAAGGGTGGGGTTTCGTTGGGGGAGGTTGACGGAACTGGCCCGCCTCGGCGGGTTTGGATGGTTATTTATTTTTGGCTGGGCCTACGGGCTCACAGATACCCACATTAAAAATGCCTTGTGCCACATTCGATCCCCGTGGGTTGATTGATAAATACCATCTAAAACTCTGAATTTAAGACACGCCAACTATAGCTGATCCATATACCGAGGTATCTGAAGTGTAACATAAGTACCAATTCTATAGAGACTGGACATTTGGAAACTATAGTCTAGTTAAGAACTAGTTCAATAGAAGTAAAATTCTGTATTCAATCTAGCCTGGATTGGGTTGAGTTTCGTCAATCTAGCTTGACACCCCACTATAGCTGATCCGTATACAGTGGTATCTGAAGTGTGAAATAATTATCAACACTATAGACTGGATATTCAGTGCCCTATAGCCTTGGTTGCCGACTAGTTTAGTAGAAATAAAACTCATTATTCAAGCGAGCCTGGATCGAGTCGGGTTCCGTCAGTCTATTTTTCCCAAGACACACCAACTATAGCTGACCCATATACCGAGGTATATGAAGTCTCTATCGAGAGTTAACATTCTCTACCCTATAGCCTTGGTTGCCAACTAGTTTAATAGAAATAAAATTCTCCATTCAAGTTAGCCTGGATCGGGTTTGGTTACGTCATGCAAGCTTGCCCAAGACATCCTCCTGTAAGCTTATACATATACCAAGATATATGAAGTGTAATATAATTACCAACTCTATAGAGACTGGACATTCTGTACTCTAATACCTTGGTTGCCGACTAGTTTAGTAGAAGTAAAACTCTTTATTCAAGCTAGCCTGGATCGGATTTGGTTCCGTCAGGCTACCTTGCCCAAGACCCATAGCTATTTTTTGTTTGTCAATAAAAATATTCTTTAAGGAATTCTTTTACTACTATTTTACTATGTATTGCAAAGCAAATTAGTAAATTCCTGGAAATGACGATGAACTGCATCCGGCAGCAAGGCCTCTGATCAGGATGTTTTGATGAACGTGGAACCACATCTTAATTGCTGGTGTTCCCAGGCCCATCCTAACCCGGGGTGGTAGCACCTGTTAGGGTCCCAGCTATGGGCAAATAGTGGACCCCCATGATAAAAGTTTCGATATCGAACAAAATATACTTAGCGTATAGTTTTAATTATCCGTCTTTTTGAGCACTGTATGAAGGAATTTAGTGTGAATAGATTTAGAATTATCCATTTCCGGTAACAGGTTGCTCGGGTGATTTTTCTTCTGGCTGGGGTTAGGTATAATCCATGGAAAAAAATCTGGAATCGCACTATACACTAGTAATTTCTTTTTAAAAGATTAAAAATCATAAATTTTCAGTGACCGGTTGCACCCGTAAACTTTTTTTTTCCAGGTAGAGGGTAAAAATCATTCAAAAAACAGTCTGGAGCCGCAATTTAAGACGGCTCATAAACAATGTATATATGGTACCTGGGGTATCTCGACGTGGTGTAATGGTTAGAAAGCTTGTCTTTGCTAGATCAATTACGACTGAGTAGTGAGTTTAGTCCTCACTGTGTGCTCCATACTTTCGGTCTTGTGCCACATCTAAGCCGGGCTTAGAAAATCATTATATATGGTAACTTGTTTTAAAATAATTTGTTATCTATTTAAATAGGATTATATTTTTTCGTATAAACTACATTTCAAATTAATTTCAGATTTGATTTTTTTTTTCTAATTTCCCCGAATATCAGGATTTTAAAAATTTTCACCCAACTTTCATTAAAGTAAAATGTAAAGTCACGAATCCCTTTCCGAACAGGGAAGCTTTTAAAAATAAACCCAGATTTCTTAGATGGCGAAAATTAGTTTAATACCGATTCGCATTCTTAAACTTTTGTTAGTCACATGGGGCGTTTTGTTACCCACAAATATTTTAAATATTCTTCCACTAATCTCTTGACTTAGTGAGGGTGTGTAGCACTGATGTGGACGGCAGATATCGCTTTGTCTTGTTCGGTGGGGTACTGTTACCCCACCTTCCTAACGAAGATTACTGTTCATGATTTATATTATATGTATGCAAAAATTTCAGATATTCTCCATCTTTAAAGGAACAATATGAAAACGTTTCTTATCCGACGCGTTTCACCCTCTGAGGACGAAACGTGTCCCCTAAGATAAGTTTCCCTTTTGTCTGTATTCATACATACACACATATATACATACATACATACACACATATATGACAGACATTGTACTACGATTAAGAGTCTTATTTAATTTTTCTTATGTTCAAACACAGTGTGTAGAAACTGTCCAAATAGTCTATAATTCCGAGCGCTTTTGGCTATACTTTTCGCCCTTATCAAGGTGGATTTTATTTTGGCCTTTTAATTGTGTGTATGGGTTCTGTGTATGTTTCTAGAGTGATAGGGATGTTTTAATTTCCGAATACAGTCAGCACAATTGTGGTCGTGTTTTTAGTTAATATTATAGAATGTTGACTTTTTTTTTTTTTTATCATAATTTCAAAATGTTTTAACTGATATTAGCTATCATTTAAAAATCAAAAACCCCTGAAGAACGGACATTTACCAAGAGATTCGAAGTCGGAAAAACAAAAAAAAAATATTTAAAAATTAAGTAATCTTTTTATAAAATATTAATGGTCTATTATTTTAATATTAAGCACTATATCTGAAAATATATATATATATATTTCTCTTTATAGGTTATTTGTATGGATATAACTTATTTGAGTAAATGTCCTCTTTTTAATTAAAAAGTATTACTCAGGTCGGTAAATGTAATTAATACTGTTTAATTAAGAGCAGAGCATTTACTCAAATAACTTGTATCCCTAAGATAACGCATAAACAGAAAAGATATAATTGTCAGGCTTAATCCATTTCATATATCCATATATATATATATATATATATATATATATTATAGATAACTAGACTCGTTTTCAAAAACCCTCGAATTTTTGATTTGCTAATAATCAAATCAATCTCGAGGGAAAAAAACGTTTTAATAAAAGAAAGAGCTACAAACATGAACTTCTGCCGACAAAAAAAATCGCACAGATGCAGGTCTGAAGCCCAAAGAAAAAAACCCCGACACGAGTAAACAACTAACAAACGAGCTCAATACAACCGTAGAGCCTTACTTTCCCTGACGATCCGTTTAGGTGAAACCTAGGCAAGTTTGTCTGGATCATTCGGTGTATCTCTCTATATATATATATATATATATATATATATATATATATATATATATATATATATATAATTATTATTACTCTTTCAGTCCTGTAATTATGAATTCATCTATTCATTGAAATATAGTGTGGCCAGTTTTGATGAATAAAAATTTTCTCGATTCTTGCATTCGAGTTTTATCTACAATTTACAGCTTATGTTTAGGCAATAAATTTATTAGAATTTTCATTTCAATGAATATTATATTTCCAGTTCAAGATTCAGTAATATACAGTGGGGGGGGGACAATATTTCGTTTTGATTTAATAGAAATAAATCCCATTTATTCATTTTAATGGGAGAAAAAAGTATTCGTACAATACAAAAATATTTTTTTCTGTTTTCTATGTAAGTTTACTTGTTATACGTCGGTGTAAAGCTAATAATTTTAAAAGTGTGTTTATTCATTAGTTGGAAATACAATAAATTTAAAACTGTATATGTACGAATATTTCTTTGTTCCTTATATATATATATATATATATATATATATATATATATATATATATATATAGAGAGAGAGAGAGATTTTTTTTTTTTTTTAGCAGTACAATATTTTACGTAATTTTAATATAATCATATTTGTATGGGGATATGTAAACACCCCAGGCGTCTGTCAATTTTCGGAAATCCGAGGTGACTAACGCAGGACGATAAGCCCAAAATGCCAGTGAATTTTCATACAGGTGCTTTGGGCTGTATTAATCGTAGCCCTAGCGCTGTTAATACGTTTATATATATATATATATATATATATATATATATATATACACACCACCCCTCTTATTCCAATAACGTCGCTTATTTACGTAGAAATTTAGTCATTTAAAGCTTTTATATATATATATATATATATATATATATATATATATATATATATATATATATATATATATATATATATATATATATTATATATATTATATATATATATATTATATTATATATATATATATATATATTATATATTATATTATATTTTTATATATATATATATATATATATATATATATATATATAAAGTACTTTATGGGAGGGATAATAATTGAAACGGATAAAAAAATCCTAATTAAGAGGGGGGAAGAGATGGATTCATGCCTTTCGTAAAGATATTTGCTTAGAAGCGGATATAACGAACTAGATTGGAATTCGAAATGATTTCTAAATTCAAATTCCGATCCATTTGTCATTACAAGCATTCGTAACTTTACCAGTCATTCTTCCATGACTGGAATCCACCGGTTCCAGTCGGAGCAGGAAAATTAAGCAACGCCCAGCCTAGTCAGTAACTTGATGGGTGACCGCCTGGAAATATCAGGTGGTGTAAGGGACAGTGTCTTGGAATTGTTAATTGGAGAGCAGAGTTCAAATTTCAATAGAGTTCATGATATTCACTTACGCCAAAATACGCTTGAAGCCACTTTTATCTATAGGTCAATTAGTAAAACTTGTATCAGTAATTCGTTGTCTGAAATAACAAGAAATCTTTACAGTCCAAAATATTTTCTGACTTTAAATAACATACAAATGGTTAAGTCTTAACAAAAAGAGAAAACACCCCCACAAGTGAAAGAAAAATAGAAAGTTAAAAAATTAAAGCAAATAGAAATGAAACTGACGGAGTTAAAATAGTAACTCAAAGAAAAAAGATTAAGAAATAAATAAAAGAAAAATCACCTGAAGAAGACCGGAGCGTACAATGGCCGGGTATATCGTGAATATATCAGAGACGTGAACAATAGTTAGAATACCTTATCTCAAATAGAAACCTGCAAAAGCATTGATAAGCAGTATTAAAACAAAATTCCAGTAAGACTATTTTAATAAACCCATTTAAAACAAGTTACACCATAAACTGCAGTCTTTTTAGGAGAAAGTTCTTGTCAAAAGTGATTTCTGTAACTCAAACTTTAACACGAAGCTCTCCCCGCCGACGAATGGATGCAGCCTTCACCCGAAAGGCCACCTAAACATTAGTTAGATGAAAGCACCATTTCCACTAATGCCTTACTTTTATGTGGGATATGTAAGAGGTACTTCTGCCTTACAGAGCTAAATTTATTAGACCCAAATATGAACAATTTAAACAATTACTGCAAAGTTAATAGTTAAAGAAACTTAACTAATTGAAAATTATGGAATTTTTTTTTTTTTTTTTTTTTTTAATATCAGTCATATAAAGGGAGTCTAGCGTTAAGAAACTTCAACGTTAATTAAAGAGGTTATTAAGAACAAAGAAATTAATTTAACATTTGTTTAAAGAGTACTCTAAGGAAATTAGAGGAAAATTCCTAATATGCATGAACAGGTAAAGATATCGTAACGAGAAGCAAAAGGTAATCTACGTTAATGGATACGAGTACAAAGTAATGCAAGAGAATTTATTTATATAGAAAATTTTATTAGGAAAAATAGCTTTAAACAAAGTTTATTAGTCAACCATTATGAGGCATTCTCGGCGTTACGGGTTTGTAAGCCTACAAATGACAAAACAACGGAAGGGGGACAAAACTTAACAGTTCATATTAAAGCCGTAGTTAGCAAATCAAGACTAATTTCTCAGAACGTGCATTAAAATACGTAAACATTGTTAATCAGCGTTAACAGATTCGCTCTTAATTCCCGAGCTGTCATCGGTCGGTTTTAAGAGGTTTCTAAAATAACATACAGTTGCATTCCAGCCTTGTCGATAGAGGAAGCTCTGATCGTCGTCTTCGAAATCGACGTCTTGCGGGCCAACATGTCGGCACACAATACCGACAGTACGATCGTAATCGAGTTTGGACAGCTCGATTGTAGAAAAAGCAGTGGTATCGAAGACCGTCTCAAAGTAAGACCGCAGATTGTTGATGTCGGTTTTGTAATAAGAAGAGTATTGATTCAATAAAGTCAATAATTTTGATTGAATAAACAACTTCAAACGTAGTTGCGATATGCTATTTTCCTCGTCGGCTAGAGTGAGAAGGAAGGCGTTCAAGTCCTGGGGTCTTCGGCCGATCTCTGGGAAGAGGAGGCGGTCAGATTTAGTAAAGGACTTGTCGCAGAATACTTTGTCAGCGAATGAATTCAAGGGGATGTTGCCTTGGTCATCTTGAAGGTCTTCCGCCAAGAGGAGCAACGTTGAACAAGCTTTTTTTAATTGGGAAAACTTATGCGCAAGTGTGGCCCGATTTTGACAAGCGCATTTGTATTTGAGACCCAGTGTTGTTCGAGGGGTTTTTAAGTCGGCATTGGCCGATGCTAATCGCTCAACTAGTTCCACGTGTGAAGATTCTTTTTGTTTGTCAAGTGGGAAAAATCCAAGTGTCTTTGGGCTTCGGTTGTCAAAGACCTGTGGCATGTAGAACATCTCTGGTGATTCCAGTTTATTCAAGAACGAGTCATCGGAATCCATAGACAGAAACCAGCCGTCGAAAGAATGAACCGGATAACTGCAAGTCAGGGCGCCGGTCACATACAAGCTCACATCGTTAGCTGATCCATATTTCGTTGGAGCAAAAACACCCGGTGTAGAGATCGCCATAAAGAGGGCTTGTTTAATAGGCAAATCTGGAGTTGTTTTTGGATGACAGTATTCTAGTTTTAATTTATTAACATTGGTAACAAGAAGGCATAGTTCCTTGTCGGTCTTATCGTAAAACTGTAAGAAAGTCAGTTCCTTATCGAAGCACTTAGATTCGAGAAGCTCGTCAAACCAGTCGAAGAAATGGTTGCCATAGTTCCATCCGTAATGTTCCGTATAATTCGTTGCGAAACTCTCGTATCCCAATTCGTCGTCATTCTGTACGTTTTGTAAGTGTTCGTTGAAAGCAACCTGGAGTTCTTTAGAATCCAAACCGATTGCGAGAAGTGTAGCAACAATAGCACCAGTGCCAACGCCGGAAAAACGTTTCACTCGTTCCAGGAGACACAGTTTTTCAAGAACTCTCATGGACCCCGCATAGGAGAAGCCTTCGGCACCGCAATTGGCGAAAACCAAGTTTTCTATGTCATAACCTTTAGTTTCTAGGTCTTCGAGTGACAAAAGTCCCGAAACGGACTTTTCCTCAGTTGGACGTCTTCGACGGGCTCGAGAAGAAAGATTTCCCATATCGCTAAAGCCAATGTAACAAAAGTAATTGCACGATAACACACGGCTCTAGGGCTATTATTTATACATAGGCCTGAAGACGAGTCCATATTCAACTGGCAGATTCAAAGGGGTGGGTGGGTGAGTAATTATCGTTAGATACAAATGAATTAAGAAATATTTTTTTTATTGGTCCATTTCATATGCTGCTTGTTTATGTTTATAATTGTAGCACATGGCCGAAAGTGGGTGGGGGGAGATTAGAAAGAATGGTCTTCGCTAACTGTCCTAGTTAATCACCATCACTATACGAGCCTGGTTCGTGTGGATGGGGCTCGCCTTGATTTTCTCTTCTAGGTCAACCTATGGCACATCGGGGTGGCTTCCTGTGAAACCCTCCCCTTGGTTAGGTTAGACAAGCTTCAGTGTACCTAGTTAATGTGAGTAAGTGTTGTTCCTGGCTTGCATCCCGGCCGTTCTTTGGTTATGATCCAAGTCGAGATTCCCAACCTCCCCAGTTTGTTTTGACCCCCCCCCCTTTCATCTCGACTGGGTCAGTTTTATATTTTCCCATTCCAGCCTAATATTTTATACTTTTTCTCACTCCCTTAGCGATAGCGTCTCTTGATTTTGTCCTCTGGGCAGAATAAAGCGGTCTCTCTGTTTTATGGGTTGGACGGTCCCTACTAACATCAATTATATTTAGTTTGTATTTGTGTTTATTTTAAGTTTATTATTGGGTTCATTTCCCTCCCCTCTCATTTTATCATTATTATAATTTTAAATTACATATATATCATCAAATTTTTATGGATTGGGGCGCGTTTTTGTAGGTTCCCCTGGAGAGGATGTGGTATTATGGTGCATGAAGGATTGATTGGTGATGGACGAGTTCTTGTGGTGAATGAGTAAATTGTAATGTATGAATGGGTCGTGAATCTGATTAGCTAGATATAGGATAGTTAGTTTGGACCAGCCTTTACCCCACCCCTTCATCGGCCTCGTGCCACAATTTTGTATCTTACAAAATAAATCGTCTAGTTAATCGCAATCATTATACGAGCCTGGTTCGTGTGGATGGGGCTAGCCTTGATTTTCTTTTTTAAGTCCCCTTAACGCTATGAGGTGGTTTCCTGCGCACCCCTCGGTTAAGTTAGACACTATTTTGTGTTCCTAGTAAATGTGAATAAGTCTTGTACCCGGCCTTTTCTTCTGTTATGATTCATGTCGAGATTCCCAACCTCCCCAGTTTGTTTTTGGCCCCCTTTTTCATCTCGACTGTCAGCCTTCCCCATTCGGTCATTTATTTTTCCCTCCCCATTCCATTAGTGAGTGTCCTTCTTGATTCTATCTATCGATAGAATACAGCGGCCATTCTTTTTATTTTGAAGGGAGGACGATTCCTACTAACGTTGCTTTGATTTTTATCTTTGGTTGGCATTTTTGAGTTTCTTGTCTGGATTCATCTTCCTCCTCATCATTTCATATTTCATGGGATTTTTAATTATATATATATATATATATATATATATATATATATATATATATATATATATAAAGAAATATAGTCTTAAGGTGTGCTATATTTATGGAATAAAGTGCTCAATATCAAAGATAGAGTGTGTGTAAATATAAAAGTGAACATAGAAGTCAACACTTAGAGGCGACAGTCTGTTTAATGCTATATGCAATCGTCATGGCCTGACGATTGCATATCATGAAAGTGTTGACTTCTATGTTCACTTATATATATATATATATATATATATATATATATAAGAACATTACAAATTTTTACACCATGGGGTATTTTTGTAGGACCCTTGTGAATATGTGGTATTGTGGTGTGTGCAGGATTGTGAGGTGATGGATGAGTTCTTGTGGTGATGGTGTAATTGTAATAAATGAATAGACCATGATTATGGTTAACTAGGAATAGGATAGCTAGAGAAAAACCAGCCTTCTCCCTACTTCCCCTTCGGCCTTGTGCCAAAATTTTGTAATTTTACAAAATAAATAAGGAATACAGCGGCCATTTTTAGTATTTTGAACGGTGGACGATTCCTAAGATTGGTTTGATGTTGTTTTATCTTTGGGTGACATTTTGAGTTTCTTGTCTGCATTCAACTCCCGTCCCCATCATATATTGTTTTATGGAATTATACACTGCGTGCCAAATTATTATCGAGATAACGTTTTTTCTAATATTTCAAAAACCGTCCCATCAATTCAAAGAAAACTTTTCACACAAGGTTGGCAACACTGACCTGCGCAATCACTGAAATTTTCGTACTGATCTGCGCAATGTAAACAAACTGGCGCCATTTTGTGTGAATTGATTAGACAGTTTTTGAAATATTAGAAAAAACGTTATCTCGATAATAATTTGGCACGCAGTGTATATATATATATATATATATATATATATATATATATATATATATATATATATCCGAACATTACAAATTTTTAATTTATGGGGAAGTGAAGTGAGGCTGGTCTTCGCTAACTCTGTTAGTTAATCCTGATCAAGACCCATTAATCCATTAAAATTAATCCATTAACCGCAAGAACACATCCATCACCATTCAATCCTACATGTACCATAATACTACATATTCACGGGGTGGGGGAAATTACAAAAATACCAAGTGATATAAAAATCTTAAAATGACTGAATATAAAAATATATAAAAATTTCATGAATCATGAAATGACGGGGGGAGACTGAATCCAGAAAACTAACAAAAGATTTTAACAAAACAAACTAAACTAAAACGAATGTTAGTAGGATATATTCCCCCCTCAAAATAATAAGACGATATTTATTTCTGTAAATACATAAATTGTGGCACATGGCCGTGGGGAGTAATAAGGAGGGGGCTTATCTATCCTAGTCCTAGTTAATCAGATTCGCAACCCATTCATTCATTACAATTTTCTCATTGACCAAAAGAACTTATCCATCACTCCTCGATCCTGCATACACCAAAATACTGCATATACATAGGGGGGGGACCTACGAAAGACTCAACGAGAAAAAATCTGATGAGAGTCCAAAATTGTCTTCTTTTTTTTTTTTTTCGCTTTTTTTTTTTTTTTTTTTTTTACAAAAATATATAAAAATTTCATGATTTAATAAATGATGGGAAGGGGAAAAAAAAAACCCAGAAAACAAAACAAAAATTTAACTCAAAGTTTAATCAAAAGAAATGTTAGCAGGACTCGTCCAGCCTTCAAAATGATAAGAGTGGCCGCTGTATTCTCGGTATTTATAAGTACAAAATTGTGGCACAAGGCCGAGGGGGAGATAAAGGTTGGGGGACTGGTCTTCATTTACTATCCTAGTCTTAGTTAATAAGATTCACGATCCATTCATACATTAAAATTTACTCATTCACAACAACAACTTATTCATCACCTGTCAATCCTACATACACCCAAATACTGCATATCCGCAAGGGAGCTACAAAACATCACTTGACATAAAAATTTCATAGTTTATAATATACAAAAATATATAAAAAATTTCAGGATGCATGAAATGATGGGAGGAGAATGAATCTTTTGGCTTCATCCAAAAATGAAAGACAAAGATAATGAAAGACAAAGATGAAACTAAAAGTAAATAAACGTTAATAGGAGCCGGCCCACCCCTCAAAATAATAAGAGTGGTCGCTGTATTTTGTTGAGATATTTATTTTGGAATATTTATAAAATTGTGTCACATGGTCGAAGGGGCCAAAGGGGGCGAAGGGAGCGAAAGGGGTCGACGGGGCCGAAGGGATCGAAGAGACCGAAGGAGCCGACGGGGCCGAAGGTGACAAAGGGGCCGACCTGCCGACGGGGCCGAAGGGGCAAAAGGGGCCGAAGGGCCGACGGGGCCGAAGGGGCCAAAGGGGTCGAAGAGGTCGAAGGGGCCAAAGGTGTCGAAGGGGCCAAAGGTGTCGAAGGGGCCAAAGGTGTCGAAGGGGCCAAAGGGGCCTAAGGGATCGAAGGGGCCGACGAGGCCGAAGGGGCCAAAGATGTCGAAGAGGCCAAAGGGGCCGACGGGGTCGAAGGGGTCGAAGGGGCCGAAGAGGTCGAAGGGGTCGAAGGGACCGAAGGGCGACCTGCCGACGGGGCCGAAGGGCCGACGGGGCTGAAGGGGCCAAAGGTGTCGAAGAGGCCAAAGGGGCCGACGGGGTCGAAGGAGCCGAAGGGGTCGAAGAGCCGACCTGCCGACGGGGCCGAAGGGCCGACGGGGCCAAAGGTGTCGAAGAGGCCAAAGGGGCCGACGGGGTCGAAGGGAACAAAGAGGTCGAAGGGGCAGCGGGGCTGGTCTTCATTAGCTATCCTAGTCCTAGTTCATCCGAATCACGACCCATTCATTTATTAAAAAATTGTGCATTCAACACAAGAACTCATCCATCACCTACCAATCTTACATGTACCACAATACCGCATATTCACAGGGGACATACTAAACACCCCATGACATAAAAATTTCAAAGTTTATAATGTGCAAAAATATATAAAAATTTCATAATACATGAAACGATGGGATGGGGAGGGTTATGTACCCAGAAAATTAATTAACAATGTAACCCAAAGATAAAACTATAAATAAACAAATGTTAATTGGACACTCCGACCCCTCAAAATAATAAGAGTGGACGCTGTATGTTGTCGACAGACTGATTATTTATTATTGTAAAATATACAATAATTGTGGCACATGGCCAAAGGGGAAGTGAAGTGAGGCTGGTCTTCGCTAACTCTGTTAGTTAATCCTGATCAAGACCCATTAATCCATTACAATTAATCCATTAACCGCAAGAACACATCCATCACCATTCAATCCTACATGTAACATAATACTACATATTCACAGGGGGGGGTGCTTACGAAAATACCACGTGATACAAAAATATTAAAATGACTGAATATAAAAATATATAAAAATTTCATGAAACATGAAATGAGGCGGGAGGGAATGAACCCGGAAAACGAACTAAAAGTAAAACAAAAACAAACTAAAA